GAAAAACTTGTCGGCGCCTTCTAGGTTCAGCCTGGTCCCATAGCTCAGTGGTTAGAGCATTGCTCATGACAAGCAGGGTCCCAGGTTCGAGTCCTGGTGGGTCTGGCGTTTTTTTCTCTTTTCAGGCAGTTCACTTCCCCGACAGATCCTTTGAATAATAATAATAATAATAATAATAATAATATTGACTGGTTTGAGGGAATGAGACAAACGGGAAAAGTCTGAAGAAAAAATTGACTGTCACCACCAGGACTCGAACCAGGGACCCTCGCTTGTAGCCAGCGATGCTCTAACCACTGAGCTATGGTGTAGTCGTCATCCCAGCAGAGGCCGTTCAACATTTTCTTCAGACTTCGTAACTCACACTTCCTGTGAATCCACACAGGCGGGTGGGACGCAGCCCTCACTGTAACCCACAAATAATAATAATAATAATAATATAATAATAATAGCAATGAAAAGTATGAATGCCGCAGACATCACCACGCAACATGACAATTTGTTCAAGGTTTGGTTTTGTGTGTTTCCAAAATCGATTTTCACGTTGCGATCATCAGTGGAAATACGCAACTAAAGAGATCAAGGGAAAACAAAGGTTAAAAATCCAAAGAAGTGTGACACATGACGGGTAACTTGTGGTAAGTATTACAAAAAGTGAGAACTAAAATAAAGAGTAAGTGTGACAAACGGGCATGAACAGTGCAGAAACAACTCATGAACACGGGGTGCAAACTCACGAAAATAACCTATCTCTCACCTATCTCCACGTAGATTATTTGAATATAATAATAATAATAATAAACTGCACGTAGTTTGATTTCATAACCAACCACGGTCTCTGGTAGTTTCCAGAAACTGACCGTGGTTGGTCCCCTGGGGGAAGGAAAAAGACCCAAGTGCCATCAGTATGTGTGGCACGTGTTGTGAGCTGCCTTTGGAGTGAAAAACTTGTCAGCGCCTTCTAGGTTCATCCTGGTCCCATAGCTCAGTGGTTAGAGCATTGCTCATGACAAGCAGGGTCCCAGGTTCGAGTCCTGGTGGGTCTGGCGTTTTTTTCTCTTTTCAGGCAGTTCACTTCCCCGACTGATACTTTGAATTTGAAGTTCTCCCAATCCTTTCCAAATTTAATCACTTTCTTTCACCTCTGGTAGTTTCCAGACACTGACCGTGGTTGGTCCCCTGGGGGAGGGAAAAAGACCCAAGTGCCATCAGTATGTGTGGCACGTGTTGTGAGCTGCCTTTGGAGTGAAAAACTTGTCAGCGCCTTCTAGGTTCAGCCTGGTCCCATAGCTCAGTGGTTAGAGCATTGCTCATGACAAGCAGGGTCCCAGGTTCGAGTCCTGGTGGGTCTGGCGTTTTTTTCTCTTTTCAGGCAGTTCACTTCCCCGACAGATCCTTTGAATAATAATAATAATAATAATAATATTGACTGGTTTGAGGGAATGAGACAAACGGGAAAAGTCTGAAGAAAAAATTGACTGTCACCACCAGGACTCGAACCAGGGACCCTCGCTTGTAGCCAGCGATGCTCTAACCACTGAGCTATGGTGTAGTCGTCATCCCAGCAGAGGCCGTTCAACATTTTCTTCAGACTTCGTAACTCACACTTCCTGTGAATCCACACAGGCGGGTGGGACGCAGCCCTCACTGTAACCCACAAATAATAATAATAATAATAATATAATAATAATAATAATAAACTGCACGTAGTTTGATTTCATAACCAACCACGGTCTCTGGTAGTTTCCAGAAACTGACCGTGGTTGGTCCCCTGGGGGAAGGAAAAAGACCCAAGTGCCATCAGTATGTGTGGCACGTGTTGTGAGCTGCCTTTGGAGTGAAAAACTTGTCAGCGCCTTCTAGGTTCATCCTGGTCCCATAGCTCAGTGGTTAGAGCATTGCTCATGACAAGCAGGGTCCCAGGTTCGAGTCCTGGTGGGTCTGGCGTTTTTTTCTCTTTTCAGGCAGTTCACTTCCCCGACTGATACTTTGAATTTGAAGTTCTCCCAATCCTTTCCAAATTTAATCACTTTCTTTCACCTCTGGTAGTTTCCAGACACTGACCGTGGTTGGTCCCCTGGGGGAGGGAAAAAGACCCAAGTGCCATCAGTATGTGTGGCACGTGTTGTGAGCTGCCTTTGGAGTGAAAAACTTGTCAGCGCCTTCTAGGTTCAGCCTGGTCCCATAGCTCAGTGGTTAGAGCATTGCTCATGACAAGCAGGGTCCCAGGTTCGAGTCCTGGTGGGTCTGGCGTTTTTTTCTCTTTTCAGGCAGTTCACTTCCCCGACTGATACTTTGAATTCGAATAATAATAATAATAATACCACCGGAACCGACTTGGTTAGTAAAATCGCGCAACAAAGCGAAGAAATTACGGGCAGATATATCTCGACTAACAAAGATGTTGAAAAACCCTGCTGTCAAGCACCAACGGTTCTTTACTCAGTACGGAATATCCAACACTTCCCAGATTGGATACGCCCTGGAACAGAGGAAGCTGGAATTGCTTGCGCTAGCGGAGAGGACAAGACGTGATAAACACATCTGGGAGAGCAGGAGAGCTAACACACTATTCCGCACAAATGAGAAAGAATTCTCTGAGAAAGGAACCGGAGCAGCAGCATCCCGGGGAAATACCGAGTGAGGGTGCCGTATTCGAGTTCTGGTCTGGTATGCTAGCCAAGCCTGTGCCGTTTGACGAGTCATCAGGGTGGTATCAAGAACAAAGAGTGGAATATGAGACTACCATTGCAGAGGATGAACCCGTATCTGTGACTCAACAGGCACTCCAGGACACGCTAGCTAAGGTCAGCAGGTGGAAAGCTAGTGGTGTAGACGCAATTCATGGTTACTGGTGGAAAAAATTATCTAATCTACACATTGCCCTGCGAATCGCCTTCCAGAAGACCCTTGTCGGTGATTGGCCAATTCCGGAATGGTTGGTGACTGGCCGCACAATCCTGCTGCCCAAGACGGAGCCACCCACATCTAACCCAGCCCAATATCGCCCTATCACCTGTCTACCCACATAATACAAGATCCTGACAGCCGTCGTTGCTAGTCTCATGTGGAAACACATTGACACCAATTCGATACTCCCAGATGGACTTTGTGGACTCGTCAGCGCAGCACAGAGGAAATGAGACCAAACCTGGTAGCAATAAAACATAACTTTTCCAAAGCCAGATTTAAACCGGGCCCGAACGTACCTTGCCAGAGTGCTCAAACTGACAAATCAGTGAGCTCTGCATAACGCAAACAGCAAAGGCACTACCCCACGCAAGAGTACTCAACTGCTACAAGAGCAGGCTGTTTCATACTGAACGATGTCGGTTTACGGGGCACTGTATTGCAGTGGTTTGCAGATTATCTGTCACGCCGCAGTCAACAAGTAATAGTCAATGGCGAGCATGGTGAGACTGTGCCTTGTACCAGGGGCGTCCCGCAAGGGTCGGTCCTGGGTCCCCTGCTCTTTTGCATTTATATTCGCAAGGTGCCGGAAATTCTCAAGCACAGCATGTCACAACTCTATGCTGATGACATTGCTTTCTTCATCATCGGACTGGACCTTCCTGCTATGTTACAGGATCTCCAGGACGATCTAATTGCCCTGGAGGTCCATTTAGATCTGAAGGGGCTCATCATGAACCCCGACAAGACGCAATTTCTAATCTTGCAGCGGTCACGCCTGCCAGCAGCGCAGTTGCCACAGCCCTTGACCTGTAAAGGAAAGGCTATTACTCCTACGAGCACTGCCAAATACCTTGGTTTATTGATAGACGAGCATCTCACCGTCCAGCCACAGGTCCATACATTGTGTAACTCGGTTTTTGCTAAAGTTGCTGCTTTCCGACATGGCCGTTGAAATTTAACAAATGATGCAAAGCGAACATTCTACTTGTCTATTATTCAGTCTACCCTAGACTATGCCAGTAATGCTTACCTACATTGTTTAAGCACAACTCTGTACAATAGGATTGTGACCGTTAGTCACATAGCAATGAAGAGAGTGTTTGGACTCGATCGTACCACGCCCACTGAACTAGTTCTTCGCTTATATCACCTCTATTCTTTGGAACAGCGTATTAGCCTCAAGCTCTATGTTTTTGTGTACCGCTGCTTGGCCCAGCATCTTGCTAGTCCTCTTCTTCAGTCTTTGTACCAGCTTCGGGCAACTGCACCTGGTCACCAGGCATGCACCCGGGGCAAGGCACAAAGAGCCTTAGTTCTCCCACTCGTTTATACGCAGTATGGCATGCGCTCTATTTCTTTTCTGGCGGCAGGCGGGTGGAACTCTCTTCCAGCTGACTGTCGACAGGCCCACACTCTTGCTCTGTTCATTAATATGGTTAAACTTCACCTAGGGTTCCCAGTAAAAAGGCAGTAGCCTGTTTGGACTCCCCTTGTAAAATAATAAAAAACTACTACTGCTACTACTACTAACTAATAATAATAATCTTTATTTCAAGATTACCCAAAGGCTAACGCCTATCTGTGGGATCTCCTATTTGTGTACCGGTATGCACAGATAGTTGCAGTTTGTTCTGAGCTAGCTGGGGCTGAGGACAGGAGCGGAATGGTCTAGCACAGAAGATAGGCAGATCTCCTCCAGGTTTGCACTGTGTCGCTCTCACTTTCTTTTTCTTTGTGTATCTCTCTCTCTCTCTCTCTTTCTTTCTCTGTGGAGACGATGCTTAATTAAGCAAATAGAAGGTGGTATGCTTAATTAAGCAGATAGAAGGTGGTATCTCTGTTACGTCACTTGATAATCTGGCCTTTGATCTTGTTCCATCATGGACAATAATTATCATTTTTTCGGTTGAGGGGAACAGGGCAGGGATAGTTGGTGGGAATTGGGGGAAGTTCCCCAGCCTTGTTATTGTAAATATTCCCTACAGCGGAGCTCGATAATAAAGATGCCACCCCTGAATTTGATAAACATAATTTTCTTGACTTTTTGGTTGTTCTGAATAATTATGTGGTATTCATCCAATGTGCAGTTGTATCTTGCCCACTGCCATCTATTGAGAATGGAAGAAAGCAACGCGATACTATCGGGTACTCGCAAACTGCGCAGTATTCATGCATTCCGGGTTATCGACTTGTGGGTAACCGACCAACTTGCAGCAAAGGAGGCACCCTCGGTCCAGTACCACGCTGCGTCCGTAAGTATATTGTGCATGGCCAAAACTGACATCATTTTTGTTGAGACTGTTCTGTTTACAATGCACACTTGAATACTTCCTCTAGTTTTTGTGACATTTGTCGGGCGTTAAGGAATTTGATAAACTGGCCGAACTCTGCTGCTTACCCTTTGGGGTTTATCGGACAAATTTTAGATCTTCTGTAAAGGGTGCAACGCATTCACATTCCATAACAGCTAGGCCTGGAGACCAACTGCACCTGTAATCCCGGCAAAGGTCAAAAGGCGACTAGAACCTGCTCATTACTTGTCAGTTTGTCCTAGTCTCCGTACCATTTTCTTTCCTTATTCTTTTCGAGCGGGTTATGTGAACATAGTAAAAAAAATAAAAAAATAAACACGATGAAGCTGGTACAAGAAATAGGGGTTACTAAGTCACACACGGAAGCAGCACTACCAAAACTAAGTACGTTGGCACACGAATCAAAGTCAACTTGTTACGTTTGAAGACGTCAAACCGGTGGTGACTCATATGTTGCTTAGTCTCCCACATGAATCAATGCAGTGCACTTGTAGCTGTGAGAATACCATACCAATCACAACACCAGGTCACAAGAAATGAGAAATGAGAAAAGTAATAGCCAAGTGCGAACTTGTGCAGTTTTGCCTCGTCTTCTTCTCATACGGGAGTGGGTTAATGGGAAAGATGTGGATAGGCTCCAATGCACTCAGACTTGATATCGTGGACTGTAAGCATGAACCCAAGCGGAAACCCATCATAATAGATAACAAAAAACAGTAATCACCATTCTGATCAAAATGCTTTGGTTGTCCATTGGAGTTATCATTCGGGCTTCTGTGCAAGGCATGACTGAAGATGGTGTGTGAGAACTCGATAGGAAGGCAGAGTACCTTTAGCGTGGTAATGTTAAAAATAATATTTGTAATTATTTTGATACATTGAAGATACTTTTCTTGTACTTTTCAAGCATATCTCAACATTTCGGACTTTCTGAATCTGAATTCTCCCATCTGCAGTTGTCGTTTGCGCAGTGACTGCACTTAACCATGGTTCGTCAACAACCCAGTCTGTTCAGTTCCCCGGAGCCGCACAATATAACTGCACAGCTGGTTATTTACTGCAGGGTGATGCACGGCCAAAATGCACTACCGCAGGCACCCTCAGCTCACTTCCCAAATGCCGACGTAAGTATAATGTGCATGGTGAAATCTTAAATCACTTTTCTTGGCTGGAGGAATGTACAGTGTATGCATTGATACTTCATCTCCAACTGGTGGATTAGATGACGTCCGGTTCGCTAAGCTGGCCTATGGGGATCGACTTGGGTGGTGGTGGCGGTGTCTTGCCTTTTTCATCCATTGTGGATGGACAAACTGTACTTGAGACGTTGAGGGCAAAGCATCCGGATCCTGTTCCTCCAGAGCCAAGCGTTCTGCTGCCTGACAGTCCGCCTCCACCGGATAACGTGCTTTATGAAACCATAACATCAAAAAAGGTACAAGCTACCATCATGGTGATGAGGGGCGCTGCTGGCCCTTCGGCGCTGGATTCGGAGGCTTGGTGGCGGATGGCTTCCATGTACGGTGCGGCGTCAAAGGCACTCTGCACATCCCTTGCCCATATGGCCAGGTGTTTGTGCGTGGAGGAGATTAACTCATCGCATCTCCGAGCTTTCCTCGCCGGTTGACTAATACTCTATTTTATTCTCTTTACCAGGCGTAGGCCATCCCCTGGACAAACAAAATGGGTGCCTTATTATTATTTTTCTGTTTCTGTTTTAATGACAGTCCACTGCACGCCTGAAAAAAAAAGAGTACTTAGTTTATTAGGCGGGTTACAGAACTATCGTTCGCTGGCTTACTTGTAGTTTGATAACGCTTCACTCTTCATTGCGATATCCACCATTCTCTCTTTTCTTCTCCTTATTTTCTCCCCAACCCTCCTTCCCTGTAACATAATAACATGTTCGCTGCCTTGTCATTGAGCATTTGTGCTCGTTTGGATTTGCGAATTAAAATAAAGTATACATACATACATACATACACCACTTGACAAACAACCTGGCGTATGACCGATAGCGATCGGTGAGGTTTTCCGGAGAGTGGTCAGGAAGGTGATCATGACCGTGATCGAGCGTGACGTTGCGGCCGTCACTGTCCCACGGCAGCTGTGTGTCGGCGTCCCCTTTGCCTGTGAGGTTGCTGTCCACGCCCTCACTGGCTTGTACGAGCAAGATGAGGACACTGCCATTCTCCTCGTTGACGCTTCAATGCGTTTAATGCGTTGAACCATGCAGCCGCAATCAACAACATACCAAAGATTTTCCCTGCAGCTGGTCGAGTGTTTGCAAATACATGCCTGGCCGACATACCACTTTACCTCGATGGCGGAGAGGTATGGCATTTGCACGAGGGAACTTGCCAGGGGGACCCTCTGGCAATGGCGTTTTACGCATTGGCCACCGTTCCTCTTGCTGCACAGCTTGGTTCAGCATCGGAGTCAACAGCTCAAATCTGGTACGCAGATGATGATGCGGCTGCCGACAAGATACAACCACTGCGTCGGTATTGGTCTGCCATTGGGGAGGCCGGCCCTCAGTACAGGTACTACCACAATGCCAAGAAAACTGTTCTGCTTGTACGACCGCATCTTTCGGCTGAGGCACAGGAGGCTTTCGCTGGCACGGGCGTCAGAATCCAGACTGATGGTGTGCGGTTACTGGGTGGAGCCATTGGCAGCCAACAGTTTCAGAACGACTTTGTATTGGATCAGGTTGCGGGCATGTGTCGGTTGGTGAAGCGCCTTGCTGGCTTGGCTGTGACGCAACCGCAGGCGGCTTATCGCCTTTTTATGGCGTCTGCAATCCCGGTGGACCTTCTTACAGCGTGTGGCCCCTGCCGACCCAGCCGTGTACTCACCTCTGAACCAGACCATCAATGACGATCTGCTGCTGGTGCTGACTGGCTACACGTTCAGGCCTGACAGTGCGCTTCGTCAGCTACTGTCTGTGCCCCTACGAAACAGCGGTCTCGCTATGCGAATCGGGAATGTGCGTGCCGAGGCTGAGCCTCTTCTCTGTTGCGATGCAATAGACCCTATGGTGACGTGCGTGGTGGTCGGTCTGGGCGAGCTTTGAGTTGCCGACGTAATTTCAACCAGCAAGGCATTGGCAGTTCAGGCTCGTGGCCGACGCCAGTCTCAACAGCTGGACATCTTGGCTGAGATCAAGCCTGATCTGTCGGATCAGCAGCGCCTCCTTGTGGATGTGGCAGGCGAGGGTGGTGTATCCACTTGGCTTGGCACTCCCCCTTCCATGCACATACCTGGGTCAGTATTTAATAAATCTGACTTCAGGGATGCACTCTGTCTGCGGTATGATTTATCGCTGGATGGGGTTGCATTGTCCTGTGTGTGTGGAAGGGAGATGTCAAGCCATCAGGCACTCACATGCCCCAGTGGAGGCTACCCGACGCACCGCCACAACGAATTGAGGGATCTCCTTGCGGACGCCCTCGGCAGCACTGTTTGTGATGTGGTGATCAAGCCACCACTGATGCCACTTCAGGGCCGGGCAGTCTCTGGCAACTCAGCTGATGGCGATTGTGTGGACATAGGGGCTCGTGGCTTCTGGACCAGGTAGCAAAACGCCTTTTTTTTGATGTGCGGGTGACTCACCCAAGGCCGTCTTTGCTGTCTGGACCGGAAGTGGCGGGTCAGTTGTCCCAGCATGAACGTGGTGGTGGTGGTGGTGGTGGTGGTGGTGGTGTTTGTGGGGGGGGGGGGGCAGCGGCGGTGGGGGGGGGGGGCGTCGGCGGCGGCAGCAGTAGTATGTGTGTGTGTGTGTTTGTGTGGGTGTGTGATTGTGTGTGTGATTGTGTGTGTGTGTGTGTGTGTGTGTGTGTGATTGTGTGTGATTGTGTGTGTGATTGTGTGTGTGTGTGTGTGTGTGTGTGTGCGTGTGCGTGTTTGTGGGTGTGTGGTGCACGTGCGCGTGCGCGTGCGCGGGCGCGGGCGCGCGCGTGTGTGTGTATGCCTGATCATTTGACTGGGGTACGGTACAGTGAGAGGGTGGGGGGAGGGAAGGGGGGGGGGACGGGCAGATGACATTAATTTATATGCATTCACGTAAAGTGTGTGGGTTACAGTGTGAGGGCTGTGTCCCACCCACCAGTTTGGATTCACAGGAAGTGGTAGTTACCAAGGTTAAAGAAGATGTTGAACGGTCTCTGCTGGGATGACAGCTGCACCATAGCACAGTGGGTAGAGCATCGCTGGCCTCAAGGGAAGGTCCCTGGTTAGAGCATCGCTGGCCTCAAGGGAAGGTCCCTGGTTAGAGCATCGCTGGCCTCAAGGGAAGGTCCCTGGTTAGAGCATCGCTGGCCTCAAGGGAAAGTCCCTGGTTAGAGCATTGCTGGCCTCAAGGGAAAGTCCCTGGTTAGAGCATTGCTGGCCTCAAGGGAAAGTCCCTGGTTAGAGCATTGCTGGCCTCAAGGGAAAGTCCCTGGTTAGAGCATTGCTTGCCTCAAGGGAAAGTCCCTGGTTAGAGCATTGCTGGCCTCAAGGGAAAGTCCCTGTTCAAGTCCTTGTTGTGACAATGATTATTTTCTTCAGACTTTTCCTGTTTACGTCTTTCCCTCCAACCAGTGGTACCTTGTAAAGAGCCAGAAGTTAGTAGTCTCTGATAAGAAACGGGAAATCTAACTGAACTCATCATCGTTTCTGAACCTACAGACAGCCTGGATTGTGTCAGTACATACACTGCTTTGCTACATGCTAGTTCAACTTTTTCCTGTGTGTTTTTTGATGAGTGTGTGTGTTCGCGATATTTTGTTATCATGGGTTTTTCCCGAATTGCAGCTATAAATTGCTCCGTACCTGATATTGCCAACGGTATTGCCAAATTCACTTCAATCAGATATCCCCAAACTACTAGATATCATTGCAATCGTGGCTTTTCGATGCTTGGGGATCGAAAGCCGAGGTGCACCTCTCATGGAAATCTGACTTCGTTACCGCGGTGTATACGTAAGCTCATTCAGTCCAAGTGTCTGTAATAATTCCAGTCGTTTTTAATCTTTTTATGTAAAAGCAGAAATTTTCGGTGGTGTTTTACTTTCGGTAACATCGGTGCCGATAATTTTGACTGAAAATAAATTTCGGTACCACCGGTACAACTGCCTTTGTAGTACTATTGCTAGTACACTAACCTGGAAACGGGTTTTACCGAAAATTTCTCTCACCAAACAGCCGATTTTGGAGAATACTGAGAATATTACACCACCAAAATTTCTGATTTTACCGTAGTTTTTTTGTTACATCCTACAACATTGGGATTGGTCGAGAAAGTTTGTAAGCATGTAACGCATCTCCACTTGCCGCGGTTTACACTGGACACAATGCATGTACTTGGTCCGGTTCATCACAATAGTATTGTCGCGATCTATCGCCGCTAAGAACAGGAGGTTTGTAACCGCTCGGTGAAATTTTCAATAGGCATAGTGAAGAAGCATGAATACTCTCCGCCACAAGAAAAAGAATCAGCAATGGAATCTGGTGAAACGAGTTGAAGAAGGCAAGCAAGGCTTCAAGCCAATGGAAAAAATAAATCAGAGAGGAAGCGTGTTCTTGCACATTTGCTTTTACAGGTCCTGAGTTTATCCTACTATGGCTCTGTATTGCTCGAACTGCTGTCACTTGAGCTGAGATTCGCTGCTGTATAGCTGCTGGCATAGAGTATCTTTTGCTTTTTCTTCCTGGCGTATGGCAGCGATGGGAAAGGAACAGTTGTAGCTGCCACTTTGGCACTTGGAGGCACGTGCTCAGCGTGACCCGTCTGTCACCACGGTGTGTTTCAACAACGTATTTGAGTCAGGCACACATCCCTCTGCAGCCAGCTGTCATACGCTCTGCTGGATACGCTGACCACGACTCTTGTACTGCAGCTGCCAGGTCGGACACTGTCTTCTTGGCCACCATCTCGCCATCAGTTTGCAGGCTTGCAAAGAATGCCAGGTCGTTGTTTTTCAAATGTGGCGACTGAGCTGGCTGGGTGACCACGCCGGCCCTAGCCGGCCGTTTCAGTCTTCTTCCGGTCACTGCACTTGGCGTTTCGCAACACGGACAGTGAATCCCACTTCCTAAAAAAGTCGAACACGTCGCGATTCAAAGTGCTAGTCACGATCATGTTTTCTTTGTTACCTCTTTTGATCTTGCTATCACAACCTCCCAAACAAAAGCAAGTTAGATATTGCGATTGGACTGGGTTTACCAGACAAAATGTGCGGTGGAGATAAGCGACAATTGCAAGGAGCCGACGAAGTAAAGCGTCTCCAACTGCTGTAGTTTACACTGTACACAATATATGTACAGCAAAACCAACTGCTGCAGTTTAAGCCTATAGTCAATTTCAAAAAGATTAGCAATCAGGTTTTGATCTTAAGAAGTATGAAGATAAGGGAAATTTGGACAACAATGTACATAGAATGGCTTGTTAGCACATGGCAAATTGTTCTGTGAAGGTTTCGGAACAATTGGACCAGCCGTTAAGGAGTTAGAGTTTCGGCCAGGTTTCCGGCCTTTTCTCATAGTTTACAATTTGCCCTGGATGTCAGTATCGATTTTTTTTATCAAAACCCACGATTTATCCTTTCCTTTTTGGCCTTGTGGTTATGAATGCTGTCTGCTGACAATGAAGTTTTCAGTTCAAATCCCAAACTATCTTCAAGTGAAACTTTTTTTTCATTGTTTTGGTGATCTACCGTATTTTCGGAGTATAGTGCGCACCTTTGTATAACGCGCACCCCCAATCTTCATTGGGGTGCGCACTTCAATCTTCATTGAAGTACATGCATTTCATACTCGGAGCATAGTGTGCACCTGCGATTTAGGGCCTGAAATAGCACATCTAAAGTGCGCACTATACTCCGGAAAATACAGTAGAAGACAAACAAAAGAAGGTGGCTGTGCCAAACGACTTGTTGTTGTTGGAGCTTGCGTTTCCTGCCGAACTTTCTGACACTTGACTGGTTCACGCCATGTGAACACACATACAACACTGAAACGGTGTGCGTGAACACGGAAGTCATTGCGCTGTAGCTACGTGTTGTTGAATACAACGGCACATCGATCGATCGATTTCTCTTTGAGAATTTTTTTAGTATTTCAAGATCGCCAATTTATTTGAATTTAGGAGTCAATGCCGTCTTCTATCAGCTTTCACAGGCGTCTGTGTGTCTCAAAAATGTCGTCGAAGTCACACGGATAGATTTCATGTACTCTTGATACGAGGAAGAACTCGTTTTTTTGTAAACCAGACGTACATGTACCGACGTGAGTGAGTTGTCATTTTTCATGCTTTCGCACGGATTATTTCTTCGATATCACAGTAAGTTTTTCCAGCCAGCTCTCGAGCACGCATACGGTAAGACGGCAAACTCCCCGGCGATCGCCAGGATTGCTAATCTTTTTAAAACGGACTGTTGTAGTTCACAATCGACGGAACGCTGACGGTACGCAACGTAAGGGCCTGTTGGGAAGGCTGGGATGAGCTGTCAAGTCTTGTACGATTCGTACGATACGACGTACTGCATGCAGTCGTTGCGTCATTCAACAGCAAACGTCGCCAGTCATAAGGCACAGTCCGTGACAGGGTGACCTTTGGACCTAATTTCTTGTTTTTTGGGACTTCTTTTCAATTATTTCTCTTTGGCTAAAGCAGAATCAAGTTCACAATATCAGTTTTTCATGAACACCAAAAAAGGGTTAACCAAAAACGTAGCTTCGAAAGTTGTGCCAATCAAATATTAGCTCCCGGAAATGATAAATACCATAATTATGTAAGATCAGGCCTTATCTTGCTAAAATTCAACTCAAGTCGTGTTACCGATTCTGCGAGTTATCATTATTTTGAAGTGCAGTGTTCGAAATGCTAAAATGTTCCAAGTACGAATCGGGATTAGTCGGCGCACGACGCCGTCTCCTGTTCACACTCAAAATGCAGCTGTTCTGTAACCTTGCGTTCCGTCTTTGTCCGTCTACTGTATGAAAAGTTGGATTGATCCAACTCTTCCCGTCGCTTCCCGATCCGTAAGGCAGTACGGTTGCGTTCCCGTTCCTGGCGCTCACATTGGACGCCATCAGACTGTCCCGTCACTGCCCGCGGATCCTTACGCCGATAGTGCATTTGGTTTCATTAGAGTTGTAGCCACCGGAGGATGTACCCAGTGTGCTAACAGCGCTCAACTGCTGATGATTGCGAAAGCATGAAATTAAGTTGCACATTGTGCTGTTGAGGCAACGACCTAAAAACATCAAAAACAAACAAAGCACACAATCATGCATAATTTGAAGTATTGCCAAGTCTCTTGGGCATCCTTGCCCACTTCATACTTAACAGGCAGCACCAATATTTTGCCTCGCAAAGGTGGTCCCCCCCCCCCCCCAGAATACCAATGCCGACGTGTGGTGTTTGACTTTCGTAGACATAACACACTAGTAGTATTGCAAAGTACTTCTCGCACACAACGATCTGGCAGAAGGGTGGTATTTGCTCACTTTTCATAAGTTCCTTTTGCAGCCAAACAATTTTGGCAAGCGGCACAGCTTCTCATGGCTCGAGACGGAGAAAAAAATGAACTTCCAATCACAAGTATACCAACGTTGTCGCACTTCTTCTCTTAGCTTAGCTCTTATCTACTTACTACTCTTCTGTGCGAAGACGGACTTCGAATAATCCCGCGGGCACATTTTTCATGCATCGAATTACGCATTTGAAATTTCAAAATTTCAAAATCAACGGAGTATTCAAAACGTGGGTTATTCGAGTTAGAGGACATCTGCTTCTGTAGGAATACTCCGTCTCCATTCTAGGATCACGGACCATCTGTAGGTAATTATCCGGGATTTACATTACCTTTATCCGAACATACAGTCAACTTGCGGATATAACGACAATTCGCGAATAACGACAGAATTTCCATGCCCAGAGTAAAGTCCCATCCAACTGTAATACATATAATGAGACTTCGGGTATAACGACACTTCGCGAAAAAGGACACTCCTCTGATGCCCCGCTGAGTGTCGTTATAAGAGAAGTTGGCTGTATTTGAATATCAGATTGCTAACCTGGGGGGGGGGGGGGGGGGGGGGGGGTTCAATGCTGGGAATGTTTGACTTGAGTTTTATTTCAAGGTGATGTTGGCCTTGTCTTTGTTGGCTCGATGCAGGTAAAAACGCTACTGGGCTCACTGGTAAACACTTTTGCCCGCCAGCTGGTTCTTTGCTAAGGATATCAATTGGAAAGTATGACTATTCGAGCGCTGTGGAACTGTGTGCCAGGAATAACGGTACTCTGCTGAGCAAGAGGGCACATGAGGGTGGTTGCGCACAGCCGCTTCTCAGAGATCTTCCAGCTTGGTTATCTGACGATATGTCTCCGACCAAGAAAATAACCACTGAAGGATCCTTATTGGCCACGAGAAAAATAGCTGTCATCTGTGAACGCAGTAAGATATTCTACATTTTTCTCTCATGGACTCTTTCAAATGTTATTCTCTACAAGTCAGTCCAATTTGCATGAGCAGGTAGTTCATTGGTAACTATATCTGTGGATATGGTGTGTAGGACAACTCTGCGCGATTGCAAGCTTTTTGACATACATAACGTGTTGTGGATAATTAGAATATCCGAATAATTACAGGTTTTTCCCCCGGCATTGTGGGGTTCAAATTATTAGGATTCCACCTGTATTCTCTACTATCCGGACTTGCATGTACGCGTTTCAGGCACCGGGGATTTTTGATCATTGCCTGCAATTGATATTTTTCTAGTGAACTATATCATACTATCCGAGCAGGCCTGTCTTAGTGTTGCAGTTTCGAAATCGTTTTATTCCTGCAGTTTCACGTCAATTGCTTGCACATTAATAGAATAGTTGGTACAAGTACCAGCTGCGACACTAGAGATGTTTGGGAAATAAAAACGCGTACCAAAATTGCGCTCTACTTCATGAAGTGCCAAACTTCCCACGGACTTTCGCAGCTTTGGACATGAAACTAGCATGAAACACGCAATGAACTTTCATGAGACGTTTGGTAGGCTTCAAAGTAGTCAACGGGTTCATCATGTGTACGTGGGAACGTACGAACTGTTAAAAAGTGCAGAGCACAAACATTTCGTGTGAAATTCGCGCAAAGGTTCGCAGGGCCCCTCATGAAACTTCGTGCGTATTTTTGTGGTGCAGCACCACCCCAGTTTATGGCATGGCGAGGCGATTTCCACCAATGAGCGGCCGTTCTGAGCTGGGCATATCTAGGGATACCTGTCTAGTTTCAAAGATCTACCCCGCTCACTTCACTAAGCTCCAGTACATGGCCCCTCGATTCACTCATTTCAAAGTTATTCCCTGCTCAGTTCACAGGAATTGTGCCAAGGGTAAACAGAGCTTTAGCGTTGATCATGCTGAAATTGGGATAGCACAAAGGGGATAAATCCTTCTTTTTCCTTTTTCTTTTTCTTTTATTCTCTTCAATTTTCATTTTTGCCCTCAGTCCGTGGGTGGTCTCATCCTCACTTCCTTGTATTGGTTATTTTCAGTATGTGCCATGAAGTGCAGACAGTAAATAGATATAAAATAAATGAATTTTTACCATTCGTTCTCTGTGTATACAGCGTGCCTTTGTACAGTCGTCCCGCGAAACATCCGGCAAATGCCAATGCCATGCTAAGCTACCGGTGGCTGTATGGTCGGTGCATGAGGCGCATGCAGTGTTGTTGTTGTTGTGTTTATTTTAATTCGCAAACCAAACCGGCAGATCTGCCCAATGAAAAGGTGGCGAATGCAGATAGAAAGCAGTGATAAGTGAAATTGGGGAGGGATGTAATAAAGATAGAGGTGCTAGGCAGAGAGTGCAGTGCTAGGCAGAGAGTGCAGTGCAGACTGCTCAGTGCAGTGCTGCAACTGACTTCTGATGCATGCATGCCACCAATTCACCAGTCCTAGCCACCATGAAGAACCGTGGGTGAACGCATAGATCTACCATACCAGTGGCACTGCATCCATGGCATTGGCCAACTTTTTTGGTAACGACTGTAGTTTCCATTTTCCTAATGCACTCGTGAAAATATTCCGCGGTATACCCCTCGGACTCCTGGTACTCGCACTCATGGTACTCGTACTTCTGGAACTCGTACTCCTGGTACTCGTAATCCTGGTACTCGTACTCCTGGTACTCGTACTCCCGGTGCTCGTACTCCCAGTGCTCGTACTCCTGGTACTCGTACTCCTGGTACTCGTAATCCTGGTGTTGGGAACCCTCTGGTTCTCTAAAGTTTCAGGAACGAAGGTCCCCACACGGCACGAGGACAACTATTTATTCTCAACAGTATATTAATGTCACTATATTTCACTTCCATCGACTAATAGCAATGAATGAATGTATGGATGAATGAATGAATGAACTAACACTAAAACCACCAGGTAGTTATAGCGTGAAAAAGGCAGCGTATATGAGAAAAGCATACACATATAACATACAACTACAGCGCACACAGCAAACCGCACATAGCGCATGTAGCGTATACTACATCGTAATCATCAGCGGTACGGCGGAGTCGGCGTACAACTGCATTGGAACGAACACAATGTCACAAGCAAGAAGGCCTTTCACTCTCGAGAACTTGTGGTTTCACAACATTCTCCCCACCAAAGGGCTTCTCACCACCGTAGAACAACTCATAAGTCAAACGATTTGGGGCTTACTACGTGTCATCTTCTGCTGCGGTGGTGGCCATGGTGAAATATTACTTATGCCCACCACTTCGGCCAACTCGAATTCGCAAAGCTTGCCGCTGTGGGCTGTCGCACGCGACACTGTCACCGATCAACTTCGACATGGGGCGGCCGATGGACCAGACAACACACAACCGATAAGCTTGCAGATTTTGGCTGTCACACAGGACACGGTCACTGGGCCACTGCCTCGTGGGGCGGACGCTGGACCAGATAACATACATCTAATCTCCATGTTCCACACAGTCTCGCCGCTCACTTTTTCCGTGCTAACTTCTTCCGTGCTAACCAGTATTGCCCTTCTCAATTCCTTAGCTTCTACTCCTTGCGCTTCTACGTCTTGCGCCTCTACGTCTTGCGATTCTACGTATTGCGCCTCTAACTCTTGCGTCTCTAACTCTTGCGCCTCTAACTCTTGCGCCTCTACGTCTTGCGCCTCTACGTCTTGCGCCTCTACGTCTCGCGCCTCTACGTCTCGCGCTTCTACGTCTTGCGCTTCTACGTCTTGCGCTTCTACGTCCTCCGGCCGAGACTCCAGTTGCTTCTGAGCGTCTCCGACTGATGTCGCCATGCACTGCACCGACCCAGTGGGCCTTGGATCTGATCCTCCCACTGGCTTCGAATACTTCTCTGGCCGCTGCTTGTCTGTAAGCAAAGTCTATTACGCCTTGCCCGGCGTCCTTTCGCGTGTGGCAAGCAAATCTCGCTTTGCTCCCTCATATGTACTGCTGGCAAACTCTGTGCGGAGCGCACCCTCTTGCCGTCTAGCACTGCGCTCTTCAAACTCCTCGCTCTGTCGGAGCCTCTTCTCCATGTATTCTCTCAACCTATCGCCTTCAAATCCATACCGAATTCCGCTAGCAATAAAGCTGGCTTCAATGATCCATAGTTCCTGTGCCATGCTCGCTTCGTATCCTGGCGCGGTCGCCAAATGTTATGAACCCTCTGGTTCTCTTACGTGTCAGGAACGAACGACCCCCCACGGCACAAAGACAACTATTTATTCTCAACAGTATATTTCACTTCCATCGATTAATAACAATGAATGAATGTATGGATGAATGAACTAACACTAAAACCACCAGGTAGTTATAGCGTGAAAATGACAGCGTATATGAGAAAAGCATACACATACAACATACAACTACAGCGCACACAGCAAACCGCACATAGCGCACGTAGCGCATACTTCATCGTAATCATCAGCGGTACGGCGGAGTCGGCGTACAACTGCATTGGAACGAACACAATATCACTCTCTAGAACTTGTGGTTTCAAAACACCTGGTACTCGTGTTCCCTCCTTACACCTTATTATTATTTATTATTATTAAATTTTTGATAGGGCAATCCCCACAGGCCTAAGGCCTTTTGACAGGGTACCTTAATATCTTTATTGCCATGTTTGGCTATCACTCACCCTCTTCACATTGGCCGCTGTTTCCACTGAGTTTTCAGATGTTGGAATAAATAAATATAATAATGTATGGTATGACCATACGTAATTGCCAATTTTTTGCAGAGGAACTCCTAGTAGCCTACAGTGGATAATTGTTGTGAACCCTCTGGTTCTCTAAAGTATCAGGAACGAACGACCCCACACAGCACGAGGACAACTTTATTTTATTTTCAACAGTATATTTCACTTCCATCGACTAATAACAATGAACAATGAATGGATGAACAATGAATGAATAACACTAAAACCACCAGGTAGTTATAGCGCGAAAATGACAGCGTGTATGAGAAAAGCATACACATACAACATACAACTACAGCGCACACAGCAAACCACACATAGCGCATGTAGCGTATATTACGTCGTAAACATCAGCGGTACGGCGGCGTCGGGATACAACTGCATTGGAACGAACACAATTGTACAATGTCACAAGCGAGAAGGCCTTTCACTCTCGTGAACTTGAGGTTTCACAACAATAATGCTCGAAAAACACATCTATTTGACTACACTCTGGACGAATTCAGTGCGTAGAAGCCAGTTGTATTGCTATTCACTGGTCGAAATCAGTCAGTAGCAGGTAGTTGTATTAATTTACACTCCACAAAATTAGTAGTAGATAGTTGGGGTTAGCCATTGGTGGACTATGCTCGGCCAATCGTCAAATTATGCTTTTGATTATGCCATAATTATGCCAACAAATATGCTGAATTATACTAAGTTCCACTATGTATTCACGCTGTACATAGAGGATTGAGAAACCACGCATACACACACGGCCATGCCCTTAGCATATTTTTTGTCTAAACCGAAAGATGATGCCGACCTTACACGCTGGAATCCGAATATTATGCCAGAGCATAATTTTTTGACGAAATCCCAAGATTATGCCAAATAGTATGCCGGCATAATCCGCCAAGGGCTAGTTGGGGTAGTTCTCAAGTAGGTAGTTATTACTGTTCACTCCACAAAATGAGCCAGAGCACGCTAAAATATGACCACAGACCGAAAATTCGATTTTCAGATTTTGTTCAAAAATGATCAAACACACCTAATGTTCACTGTTTGAAAGTTTTGGATTGATCTGACATGTCTAAGTGTTGCTAGAATGCTTTTATATGCAGCACTGTTGAAATGGGGAAATTCTATGTACAGCAATGGGATTGTCATTTTTGCACACAGTTGATATGTCCCTTGGTTCATCCTTTCCCGGTCAGTTCCTCTGTCCAGGGTCTTATAGCATGAGCTCACAGGTACTTGGCCACATCCAAAATTTCTATAGTCAGCTGAGCTGGGTGTCCAAAATACATCCTGTTTGGAGCACCAATGGAGAACCACCAGCGAAAACAAGGTCAACGTCTGTGAATGGCCGAAGAAGTTGGCACTCCACGTCCTCTCCACCACACTCCACCTGTACTTTCAGATACCGGTATACAGTATACACTGCTGCACACAGTCTTTCTCAACATACTCGACGTCGCACTCATTATTCCCCACACCAAAGCCCATCTGCACACGGTTTTCTCCGCTCGCCAGAGAGTTCGCTGCCTACTGCTCGTGCTAGCGATGTTCTGCATAAGGGTACTCAAATTATCGACTTGAGCAAGTCGAGGGGGCAGCAGAGTCCATTGATTGTTTTGCACTTGCAACCAATGCTGGCATTGTCCCGGATCTGTGCAACGATGTCATTTCTGGCCAAATCATCGGCCAACTCGCCTCCAAAGTCAGTGTCGATGCAAATCGCTTGCCAGGCTGCACTGCAGATCGTCGGACTAACAGCATCCATTATTTTTCGCTCGATGAAAGTGTCGCCCTCAAATGACTCGTCGCTGTAGCCATCATCGTCTTCCTTCTGTTTCTGACCCGAATCCTCAACATATTTCATCCTGCGCATGGAGTGCGAGGATGTCGTCTTCTTCCACTCCGCAGTACATTACTACTACTAGGCTCTTCCGTCGATACATCGCATGGGTAATCGTGATAAGGTCATCCAGCATCATATCGCACTGAAATCGTAATCCTGTTGATGTCGATACAACTTTTGGAAGTAGTTCAATGACTTCAAACTGTTAGTCCACGATTTTCTAAAACAACACAGCAAAGGAGGAACAATAAACATGTATTAACATGTAAACAAACACATTGCTGCGATGACGATCAGTTTAAGCCAACTCAGCGCAGCATGGAATACAAACTCAAACAAATAAACTTACTTGCAACAAAGAAATGCATCCGGAACAGTCCAGTCGACCGAGGAGAACAACAACAGCGACTCGCGTTGCACTGCCCTTCGTATTTTTGGCCGCGGAATTCAAATCGCGATTTTCTCGACTTTTTCAAAAAAAGCTGTGGTCATGTTTTATCGCGCTCGGGCTCAAATTAGTAGTTAGTTCGGGTAGTTCTCATGTAGGTCACCTGAGCTATATTACTATTCCTGGGTGGAAATTAGGCCGGAATAGGCAGCTACTCACTAGTTAACAGTCAAATTGCCAGGTAGTCGTCGGCTAAGAGAAAATGAAGTAAAAGAGGAGGAGAGATTGTAGAATTATTGAACAGCCGAATAGTGCCGTTCGCAACTTTATGGGTTTTTTTCTCTCATCTTATTAGCAATAGCACTTTCTTGGCTTGTCATGTGGTAGATGGATGAGCCTTCTGCAGTCATGTCTGCCCCTTTGTCCACTCCAGAGCTACTTCACATGCTGTAAGTAGGTTTTTGAACCTCAATTCTGTCAAAATCAGACTCACAACCGTCAACCCCGGGTATTTTGGCTGAAATGAGTGTAGGGAGACAATAATGACGACTGGAGCCTGAAATGCCCCTTACCTGGCGATGTCTGTTGGCCTTGGGGCAAGTGAAACCACCACTGGCCAATACATGTATGTGGAAAAAAGGGTGGAGTCACGTGATAAACACGGAGATGACAATAGACAAGACACTCAATGTGGAACAACCACATCTATCGAGGTGGAGTGAAATGAGAATAAATTTCGTTCGCAGCTGCGCGCTCAATCTCCAGCAAGAGAGCCATTGCGCTGGATAGGGCCGATTGGAGAGAAGGGGCCCAGCATGCAAAGGGTTAAGGGAGGGGGGGGGGTGAAACCAGGAAATGCTCCATCACTGGTACCAAAATCGAGTTTAGTTGTCTGAAGATGTTTGCAACTCCTTTACTGTGCAGAGGTCTTATCTATAATGTCTTCACACATACTATCTTACCACGTGGCTACATTGTGCTTTCCTGTTTTCTGTTCAGGTCTGGGCAGGGGTATGAATTTTCAATGCAAAAATTTCAACATCAGGATATATGTTCAGCTAGAAACATTTGAAAAAGCTAGTCGCATCTGCGCAGGTAAAAGGTTGAAGCTGATGGTCGACCGCTGGCAAAGTAATAAGCTCATGAGATGCTACCTGGTAAGAGAGAAGAGAAAAGGACGAATGAGCATCTCTTTAAATATTTCTATTGGCTCAACATCCGAGTTATAATTAAGAGATAAGAATGTGTGTTTCTGTCTGTAGTGTATCTGTCAACAGGACCTCACTCAAACGTGAACAAACTCTCCGGCAACAGTGACCGATCATTTAGCCGGAAAATGTTTACCCCTTTCTACCGGATAACCATTGCAGATTGGCATGTACAGTTATAACTTGCATGTTTCTCCAAGCTCTTGCAGACACCACTGCTGCCATTCACAAGTTGATTTACCGGCCCGGAGAGAGAGGAAGAGAGAGAGAAAGAGAGAGAGAGAGAGAGACAGAGAGAGAGACAGAGAGAGACAGGGAGAGAGACAGAGAGAGAGACAGAGAGAGACAGAGAGAGACACACACAAAGAGAGACACACAGAAAGAGAGACACCGAGAGAGAGAGACAGACAGACAGAGAGAGAGACAGAGAGAGAGACACCGAGAGAGAGAGAGAGAGAGAGAGAGAGAGAGAGAGAGAGAGACTAACACACAGACAGAGATGCAGAGAGAGAGGCAGAGAGAGAGAGACAGAGAGAGACAGAGCGTGAGAGGCAGAGAGAGACAGAGAAAGAGAGAGACAGAGAGAGAGACAGAGAGAAAGAGAGAGAGAAAGAGAGAGGGAGACAGGGAGAGGGAGACAGGGAGAGCGAGTGAGGGAGAGAGAGACAGAAGAAGAATAACAGATCCCAACCATCCATGCATTGCCCATCGCAAAAAGCATTAGCAGTTATGTAGCGACTTTTAAGTCGCTACATAACTAAAATGTGATTGGAGAAGCACACCTTTTCACGTGTCAACATAGATTTGATCTATTTGGAAATGGTTAAATCACGCTGAGCCTATCTTGTGCTTTTCTTCTCATGTATTCCAGCCTGCACTTCGCAATGAAGGTGTGCGTTTAACCTGGATTAGACAAGCCGGAGAGCCTCACACTTTAAAGACCCTATATGATATTGAAACTGGAGCTAAGACAATTTCACCATTGGGACTGGAGACAGCGGCCTTCATTTGTGCCAGTAAGTAATAGTATAGAATACCATGCATGCAATACCGTAGCTGAAATGTGATTTTAATTATTCTAGTTCTGCAAGAATTTATGCCTGACTTTCAACACACATAACATTTCTCAAACGCTGTGGATTCTGTTGAAACGTGTAATGAGATAACATAATAGATGATTGTCGTATAACGCCACATCATATCACATGATATCAGATAGCATGATTTCAGATGGCATGATATCAAATTGCATGCTAACATCTCATCACATACACTTACTTTAGAAGTACTTGGGGAACTCAACCAGAATTGCAGAGTGAACTGCAGGGTGAACTGCACAAAACACTTAATTTCGGAAAACGGAATTCCCTTCTGAAAAAAGGCCACACCAAGGCTGGATATAAACCTCTTATCCAGGAGGAGCAATTGTACAGATCATCAAACAAATTCGTGTATGGGTGCAGTAACCAATAAAAATCAAATTGGAGACAGAATAACGAGCAGTTGATGTTTCATAACTCAGAGTCCCACAAACTGAATCGGTCATCAAACGAACATTGATATCATGTCATGGAAATTGTGATGCTGGGCTTGCCGAATGAATGCCACATTTGGCTTGCCAGATGAATGGCATATAGCTGTACTCTAAACCGAGGGTCGGTATCATTTTTCGTCTGATGATCAATTCTGAGTTACGAAACAGCAACTGCTCTTTTAGTTGTATTTGTATTCCGCTCTTTGCTTTCGGCGAATAGAGCCCACCAAGGACAGTGGATGAACTTCACATGGTGATCATAATTACTATTATTAGTAAATGTAATGGAACACGAAAAGAGGAATAATCGGCGAGGAGCCAATACAGTCAACTTCGCTTATAACGACACTCGGCGGGGCATCAGAAAAGTGTCGATATTCGCGAAGTGTCGTTATACCCGAAGTCTCATTATAATTATGTATTACAGTTGGATGGGACTTTGCTCTGGGCCTGGAAATTATGTCGTTATATCCGCAGTCGTTATTAGCGAAGTTGACATTAGTCGTATAATGGCAATAAATAGGATCAATTGTGCACTCAGAATGACGTTAAAATCTGTACTTAGGGTTCCGCTGGTGTCGTGCTATGAGTGCGGACACATTAAATCTTTTTTTAATAGTTGAGCCGAGCCAAGCAAAAAGGTGGCGTAGGCATAAATTTTGGAAATTTCTTTTTTCATGCCAAAGTGATGTCTACCTATCCAACTGCCATCAAGGAAATTTTGGTGCCCATCTGAAATGTATATGTGCCATAAATAAGCATACATTGCGCACATGTCACAGCATGCATGGTATCAGTGAAACTAAGATAATAATTATGAAGACCTACTCCAGAAAACATGGGACACCAAGTGGAGACAAAGCTTAGCAGGTGTGGAAGTAATACAAGAAGAACGAGCACTTGTGTTCTGATTAGAAGATCCAAGAAAGAAGAAATAATTCATCTATGCATCTCATGTCATTTCATCACGCAACACGAATTTTCATATCCTTCGATGATTTTGTGAGTATGTCACGGGCTACATTTTTTGCTGGGCTGGGAAACGTCGCATCTTACCAAGATAGTCCGTCATCCTCTCTCCAATCACCTACGCCAGCATGAATTTATCCTTCCCTGTAGCTCGTAGTGTTGTGCCGGAGATCGAGCTGCATTGGTCCCTTGCACGTAGGTCCAACAGACAGGCTGCACATCGCTAAAAGGCGGCACTGATTCTTTGTCCGTCCTAGTCCATGTCATTCTCCTTCCCTGGTGTAGGTAGTGGTATAAGCACCACCGGACGAGATGATAGCAGGTAGAGTAAATGCATCGTGTCGTCGTGTCGCACTATTGTCTTTGAAATGAGGAAATTTTGGAGTACAGTACGCCACGTCATGAACATTTGAAGGTACCCGAAACAAAGTGAAACATCGCAGCAAGATCCATCTCACTAGAAAGCTTGTCCGGGTGATGGCCGGACGGCTTGTAGGCGTCTCCACATAGGTATACCAGCCGCTCTAGACTAGTCGTGGCCACGATGAGAACCACAGCCACTATGAATGATCGATTTTTCCTCGTCAACTAGGGTTGGGCGCACACGGAGACAGAGTGTCATCCTGCTCGCCTCCACATTCTCCAGAACGCTCCATTACGATCTCTAGCAGTGCCGAGAAACCCCCACAACGATGAAAGAGGGAACACTGAAGAAGTGTTGCTCAAAAATAAAAGGTCTCTTCCTTCTTCTCCACTTGCAAACTATTTGACTTGAAAGGATGCTCGAAAGTGAATATTTTCGCGACTGCGCTCGAGTAGAATTTTGCCGACTGTGACGTTTTGGTTATTTTCTCGATTTGTTGGCAAAACACTAAGCCACTTTTTAGCTTGGCACGGCTCAGTTATTAATTATTCGTCCTCGATGTTTACTTGAATACCAAATTCTTCATCAAAAGGAATGCTTCAGAGCCGCACAGGCCCGTTGTGGTAGACACCAGCGATGTAAAAGATCCCCTCGCGACCCTCCTTACCCGAACATAATACTGATCCCCTCTCAGCCCTCCTTACTCGAGCATAATACTGATCCCCTCTCAACCCTCCTTACCCGAGCATAATACTGATCCCCTCTCAACCCTCCTTACCCGAGCATAGTACTGATCCCCTCTCAACCCTAATTGCCCGAGCATAAGACCAAGAGCACCAAGCCCCCAGAGTGTGCAACGCCGATCCAGGGTCTTGGTCGAGCGGAATCAGATCTTCTGATGTTATGCGTACACTCCACACCAGTGCGGTCTCGAGGCAGGGCACCGTTGTTTTTGATCCGAGAGCACCCACGACTCCCCGGGTTCCCCTCAGACGTGTACCGTATTATGACGCAAAGATCCGATTAAGCTCGACCAAGACCCTATGCCAAGCTGGATCAGGCATCACACATTCTGGGGGTGTCATGTACTCTTGATAAGACTGATCCCCTCTCAACCCTCCTTACCCGAGCATAATGATGATACCCTCTCAACCCTCATTGCCCGAGCATAATACTGATCCCCTCTCAACCCTCCTTACTCGAGCATAATACTGATCCCTTCTCAACCCTCCTTACCCGAGCATAATACTGATCCCCTCTCAACCCTCATTGCCCGAGCATAATACTGATCCCTTCTCAACCCTCATTACCCGAGCATAATACTAGGGGTCAAAGGGGTGTTCTGGGTACCCGGGTACCCGCCCGTTAATCCCAGGTTCCGTTAGTAAAAGGGTACCCGTTTGGATTTCGGTGATCAGGTCAGTACGAAACAACACTGCAGGGATTGTGCATTCCAGGCGGGAGTCAATTATTTACAACTCCAAGCTGCATGCCTGCATTGTTGTTGCATTTTCGCACCTAGTTGATCTATCTCTGCAACTATCAGACTCAAATCAATTGGCGAATCACTATGTGATATCAAAATGCAACCTGAGAACAGATAAATTACTATCATGGTGTATATGGAAATTGCGCAAAAATTAAAACATGGCTGCTAAAGGGTACCCGTTAACCTGCCCGTTAAGAAAATTACCCGTTCGTTAGTTAAAGGTACACCCATTTGACCCCTACATAATACTGATCCCCTCTCATCCCTCATTGCCCGAGCATGATACTCATCCCCTCTCAACCCTCATTGCCCGAGCATAATACTGATCCCCTCTCAACCCTCATTGCCCGAGCATAATACTAATCCCCTCTCAACCCTCATTACCCGAGCATAATACTGATCCTCTCTCAACCATCATTGCCCGAGCATGATACTCATCCCCTCTCAACCCTTATTGCCCGAGCATAATACTGATCCCCTCTCAACCCTCATTGCCAGAGCATAATGCTGATTCCCTCTCAACCCTCATTGCTCGAGCATAATACTGATCCTCTCTCAACCCTCATTGCCAGAGCATAATACTGATCCTCTCTCAACCCTCCTAATCCAAAAACAACACTGCCTAACGCTAGACCAATATACCTGCAGGGTATCAGGTACAGAGTGTGGAGGGGGCTAGACTGGCATGAATATCTGTTGCCACAACTCTGAACGTACATTGTGACCTGTGACTTTTCTTTGTCTCTTATCCATGCCTTAGAAAAAATAAAGAGCAAGAACTGACGTGGGGGGACACAGCCAGCTTGATGTAGAACGCGATCCAGATATGACCTATGCACTAGTGACGTGGGGAGAACAATTTGTTGTATACATGTGCATGTGTGTGCGTGTGTGTTTGTGTGTGTGTTTGTGTGTTTGTGTGTGTGTGTTCATGTGTGTGTGTGTGTGTTTGTGTGTGTGCGTGTGTGTGTATGTGTGTGTGTGTGTTTGTGTGTGTGTGTGCGTGTGTTTGTGTGTACGTGTGTATGTGTGTGTATGTGAGCATGTGTGAATGTGTATGTGTGTGTGTGTGTGTTAATGTGTGTATGTGTATAGTATGTGTGTATGTGCGTTTTGGGCATGTGGTTGTGTTTGTGTATGTGTGTGTGTTTGTGTGTGTATGTGTGTGTGTACGTGTGTGTGTGTACGTGTGTGTGTGCGTGCGTGTGTGTGTGCGTGAGCATGACTATGTTGGTGCCCATTCATGAACAAATTATCACTACTTCTTTATCTCGCTGGCACTCTTATGGCATCCTTCGGCTTCTTTTCCTGCAGCTGATCGTTCGTTTTCTACAAATTCGTAACATGCATGATTCGTGCATTCGCTTTCCTACATACATGCATATACATTCATGCCAACACATGTGTTATCAATGGAAATTTGGCAGATGCTAGGTCTCAGTGTGTCCCTAAAGTGATGGTCATTGTTCACTGCTGCCATTGTGACAGAGCAAGCCATTGTTACCGCGCATTTATGCCCGCATTGCCATGTTGTATAATCTTGTATGATTTTCATGGAACGGCATTGCTTTGTTGATAAGATGAAGGACTATCAGTCCACCGAGATAACACCTAGTTGCACCACAAACAGTACCAGGGAGGGGAAGGGGAATTTCCAATGGCGGGAAGCGAGGCGCAACAAAGCTGTGTTCAACAAAGCTGTGCATGAACTATGTTCAACAAAGCTGTGCATGAACTATGTTCAACAAAGCTGTGCATGAACTATGTTCAACAAAGCTGTGCATGAACTATGTTCAACACAGCTGTGCATGAACTATGTTCAACAAAGCTGTGCATGAACTATGTTCAACAAAGCTGTGCATTAACTATGTTCAACAAAGCTGTGCATTAACTATGTTCAACACAGCTGTGCATGAACTATGTTCAACAAAGCTGTGCATGAACTATGTTCAACAAAGCTGTGCGTGAACTATGTTCGACAAAGCTGTGCATGAACTTTGTTCAACAAAGCTGTGCATGAACTTTGTTCAACAAAGCTGTGCATGAACTATGTTCAACAAAGCTGTGCATGAACTATGTTCAACAAAGCTGTGCATGAACTATGTTCAACAAAGCTGTGCATGAACTATGTTCAACAAAGCTGTGCATGAACTATGTTCAACAAAGCTGTGCATGCACTATGTTCAACAAAGCTGTGCATGGACATTGTTCAGACGCTGGAGGTGACTCTGCGCAGCTCCCATCCATACAAGAGGCGCATACTCCATGACTGGTCGTACGAACGCCTTGTATGCGGTCGTCCGGCCGGCGGGGGTGAGTATGTGGGCGGCTCTGTTTAGGACCCCAAGCCGTTGGCGTGCACGGGTGGCTACGGAGCGTAGGTGATCGCTGAAGGTCAACTTGGCGTCCACCTTCACACCAAGGAGGGTGATGGTGGTTGTCTCGGGCACCAGTGTGCCACCAAACAGGAGTGGGGGGAGATCTAAGCCGGTGCGTCTGAGGGTGGCTGTCATGGCCTGGGATTTGGTCTTTTCAAACATCACTTTCCATGTACGACCCCACTCGTGCAGTCGGTCAACGGACACCTGCAGTGACTGCGCGGGGACTGTTGGGGTCTGCTGGGAGGTGACTAAGCTGTACAAAGTTGTATCATCAGCATAGGCTTCCAAGCTGGCGCCGTCAGCGAGAACATCTGGCGCGTCGTTGACGTAGGCCAGGAAAAGCTTTGGTCCAAGGATGCTTCCCTGGGGGACTCCAGCGGAGGTCGTATACCTAGATGACGTCCGCCCTCCAACGAGGCACTGTAGGGAACGGGTGTCCAGGTACGACGCCAGCCATCTCTGAAGCGGACCATCTATGCCTAGGCTACGTACCTTGTGGAGGAGGCCGACATGCGAGACACGATCAAACGCTCCTGCGATGTCCACAGCAAAAATACGAGCCGCCCCTAGACAGCCCACAGCACTTGCCCAGGCAGTTTGGAGAGCTTGCAAAGCGTCCGATGTTCCGAGGCCTCTGCAAAATCCAAACTGGTGCGACGTGAGCAGATGATGGTCTTCAAAATAGTTTACGATGTGTCTGTTTACAAGAGTTTCCATTACTTTCGAGATTATGCACAGTAAGGATACGGGCCTGTAGTTCTTAAGGGTTGAGAGGGAAGACCGCTTGTGGATCGGAACCACGTTGGCCGTCTTCCACATCCTAGGTTGCACTCCATACCGGAAGCATAAAGCAAATAACTTGGACAGTGGCTCTGCGAGCTCATGAGCACATTCCTTAAGGACGCGAGCAGAAATACCGTCAGGCCCGGTAGCCTTGGAGACGTCGAGCCTTGCCAGGAGGCGGCGGACAGCCTGTGGGCGGAAGCGGATGGTGCGAAGAGGTGGAGCCCCTGAGGGAGCAGGGTCCGGTAGGTCAGCCTCCACAAGGTCCGGACCGGCAACGCTACATTTCTTCGAGAAGAAGCGAGCGAATGCCTCTGCTTTCTCTAAGCTCGTTGCCCACTCGCGGCCGTCAGAGTCGACAACTAGGGGAATTTCGGGCTGTGTGTGGTTGCCAGCAGCGTTCTTCAACTTCGTCCACCACTGTTTGTCTCTGAGGGACCCAGTTGAGAGGCTGCGACGGAGGCTGTCCTCCTTTGCACGTCGTGATCGGAACTGGGTGGCGATCGCTACAGTCACGGAATCGGTGAATGCCTGCTGAAGTGCTGGGTCATAAGGGTGTTTTCTCCAGTCGCGCCAGCGCTTCTCCTTCTCCCTCTCGGTCTGGGCGCATTCAGGCGTCCACCATACCGGATCGGAAGGCCTCGTTTCCAGGACTTTGGATGGGACAAACTGTGCAACAGCTGCAGTTATCGAAGCCGTAACCTGCTCACAGGAAGTTTCTGGGTCCTCCGTGATGATATCACCCCATTCCACGTTGCGAAGGTGCGCCCTGAGGCGATCCCAGTCTGCCCTGTTGTAGCGAAACACTGTTCGCTTAACAGGGGTTCACGTCTAGGGAGCACGGAAGAAAAGTCTGACAGTACAACTGCATGATCAGATCGACCGAGGGGCGGAAGTATACGTGTAGTTACTGGGGACGTGAACGTTGACATTATGAGATCTAGCGGGTTGTCTCCACGAATCGGTACTGTGACATGCTGGACAAGAAGATGGGCAGCGCAGGTATCCTCGAGAGCCTCGCCTGCAGGCGTAGTTTTCGAGCTGTTCAGCCAAGCCCGGTTGTGCACGTTGAAATCGCCAGCTAGGATGATGTGGGAGCCCTGGTATCTGCGAACTATGTTCAACAAAGCTGTGCATGAACTATGTTCAACAAAGCTGTGCATGAACTATGTTCAACAAAGCTGTGCATGAACTATGTTCAACAAAGCTGTGCATGAACTATGTTCAACAGCAAAACGAGAATAGAGTGAAACTGCTACTTTTAGCTTGTGTGGTATTTAGCGATTTTAGCGACAGGCGTGTTTTTGTTCCGCGCATTCTGTGCATTTGCGCAATGTGCAGATTGCGCTGGCAGATCTGAGAATTCCATGTTACCTGCGCAATGTGCAGATTGCACTGGCAGATCTGAGAATTCCATGTTACCTGCGCAATGTGCAGATTGCACTGGCAGATCTGAGAATTCCATGTTACCTACGCAATGTGCAGATTGCACTGGCAGATCTGAGAATTCCATGTTACCTGCGCAATCTGCAGATTTCCTTGGCAGATCTGAGAATTCCATGTTACCTGCGCAATGTGCAGACAGCTTGCTTATGCTGGGAAATTTGAAAACGTAGCCAAGAAGAATTCACCTCCCCAAGACTCCGGAAACACACGCCACAGGCGTGTATCTGTTGTTCAACATTCAAGTGCGTGATTCACGCACTTTGGGGATTTTGTTGATAAACATGAAGAATCCAGAGAATCAATGTGGGGCGGTCACTGCCGCCCTTTAAAAGTTACTTTGTCTCTCTTTCTCTGTTTTCCTATGTCTCTGGCTCTCCGTCTCTCTTTCCTGTCTCTGCCTATCAATTAATCTCTCTACCTTTATCTCTCTTTCTCTTTCTCTCTCTCACTCGTTTTTCTATCTTGAAATTCTGGTAGAAACCCTCTTCCTCTCTCTCGCTATCTCTCTCTCTCTCTATCTATCTATCTCTCTCTCTCTCTTTCTCTCTCTCTCTCTCTCCGTATCTCTCTATCGATCTCTATATCTCTCACTCTCGCTCTCTCGTGTGGAGAGCGCTTGCTGGGGCTTTAAACCCTGGTTCTTAATCCACCATTCCCAGCTCGCAAGGCTGGGCGGGGTTGTGAGCAGGATTTCATTCCACCTTTTCAATTTTTTCTTATTATTTCAGCTTTTCATCTCATTACAAAAATTCTGTGCATTCTTCTCCATCTGCGCATAGAATCTAGACTGACAGCCTGCTCGCTAAATCGTACCTTGCTTTCAGGCGTAAAAGACTTGTTGTAGAGGTCTCAGTCCTCATTTGTTAGACTTACCTTCTTTATAAATGTAACTTACTCTCTCTCTCTCTATCTTTCTATATCTATCTCTATCTTTATCTCTCTCCTTTCTTTCTCTCTCCCTTTCCCTCTGTGTTTCTTGTCCTCTGTCTTTCTGTTGGTCTATTTTGTGTCACTGTCTCCCCTTTTCTGTCTCCCTATCTTTCTGTCCATGTGTGTGTGTCTCTCTCTCTGTCTGTCTTTCTGTCTTTCTCTCGGGCTTTATGTCTTTATCCGTCTGTGTCTTGGTCTCAGTCTGGCTCTGTCTGTCGGTCTCTCTTTGCAGCCTCTAAATCTTCAATAATTGGAAAGATGGCGTCGTGCTCTCTGCACGCACTGGAAGCGCTTAAGAGAGCATGTCTGAGAAAACCAGAAAAGCTAGGCTGGGCCATCTCTCCGATTGCTTTCCAATGCTGAAAGTAGGTTTCCTTTGGGGTCTACAAAACCCATGCAAAAGGGCTCGTTGTATAACTTACGGACACGTACCTTGGAACTGGGGAACACCTCGAGATGGGCCCAAACTACGACGTAATTTTGGGTCCAAAAACGAGCGCTGCTACAGCGTACACAATGGAGCTCAGAACAAACCACCACCATGCCAACATTACCTCACCTGAGTAGTCTTCACATCACCACCACATCGAGTCATGGCTACATCCGGAAAAGCAATGGCCATTATCACCGAATACATCATTTTGCGAGAACTGTGGCAATACGCCCAGTGAGAAGGCAGATTTTGCCTGTGCTTCTGGTGAAGTAAAATAAAGCTAAACAAACAAACAAACAAACAGTATCACTAAATTGCATCGCTAAAATAGCCAGGTTTCAAGGAACATAGCGGGAGCCATTAACGCCGTCCAATTCCCTGAACCATGCACTGCAGGAAAGATGGCCCAGCCCAGCTCGACTGGTTTTCTCAGGCAAGCTCTCTTAAAGGGGAAGTCCGGTAAAAAATTTAATTTTCAGGGTCGGCAGAGTTTCGGGCGCTGAGTCGAATGGTGTTGGTCCCACGTGTTTCCGACAAAGCGTTCTCGAGATACTTCCGTTTGAAAAACTGAGTTTCGGGGGCTGCGCCATGACGTCATGCAGCCGCGCCACACCCTGTGCAACGTCATAGCGTGCAGCTAGGTCAAAAGGAGTGTGTGAAAGCAATAGTGTCAGTGCTATTTCAAATGATTTGGCGACTGATATTAGGAGGTGCAAGCGACCCCGAAGACCTGTAACTCCTTGTGAGAGTGAGGATGCAGCCATGACTGACCTTCATGAGTTCGGTCTGGGGCTGAGAACCTCGGTATTCAGCTGAAGAAATGGCCGCGCGGGCCGGTCAAGAGTGAGCGCTACTGAGTTTCCGACTGATGAAGAAGCAGCAGCTATTGCAGACGAGGCTGATGTAATTATCAGATCGCTGGAGAGCAGGGTCGCCAAAATGGAGAAAAGTGATGCGAGTGCTCTAAATGTTGTTCCATACCGATTAGATTCGCATAGACTCCAGTAGCCTGCCACATGGTGATGTTTTGGTGCGAACTTGGAACATTTCGGACTACTCAATTGGAGAACAGTGCAGGCTTTTTGAACCACGGGCACGACTCTTCGCTCGCAACGCTATGGAATAAAATCTGAAAGTAGCTGCTCGCTGGTTTGACACTTGTCACGGTTCTGAACTCATCGCTGTAGCATAAAATAATGCGGGAGCGGAAAACTAAAATTTTCTTTCTCAAAGCACAACAGCCGGCACCCCGTAAGAAGACCTTGAGTCTGTGGGGATTGCCCTATCAAAATATGAATAAATAATAATAATAATAATAATAATAATAATAATAATAACTGCAAGGAGAAACGCACGTTCTCTGACTACATAACTGTGCAATACGACTGATACGAGTGTAGTACATGACAAGTCCGTGTGTTGACTAGTTTTCTGAGTCTTGTGTCAGTTGTGACTCGAGTCTTGTTGTAGATACTACCCCAGCACGGCAGTGCGGGAGTAGTTCCGTCTGTGATGAGTTTGTTGTCTGCACTACTACTAGTACTACAGCTAGATAACACACTGCACGCACTGCATGCACGCAGGGCAGAGCGCGTAGAGGCTGACGGAAAAAGTCCAACTCGGAAACGGTTAAAATACGGTATAACCTCGAGGTTTACCGAGCTGAAAATCACAGAGTATGTAGTGTTTGTAACACTGAATCGAATGGTCTTGGTCAGAAGAAGCTGCGACAAACGGTTCCTCAATCGAACGCGCTCCGAATATGGCCATTTTTGTACACAACTAGATGGCGTGGCTATCTTGCTGCACGCTGTGACGTCATCACCTGGTTCTGGCCGATGCGCGCTCAAATTCGCACATGTTCCATTGGGCGTATCTGACGGACCATAAGCCGCAGCCTCCAAAGACCATTCGACTCAGCGACCCGAACTCTACGGACTTAGAAAATTAAAAAATTTCACCGGATTTCCCCTTTAAATTAATCTGGAAATTCCCAGATTGCACAACCACCCACACCTACGTGTATGTGTGCAATCTCAGAATTCATTAGGCTATGCAATCTCAGAATTCATTAGGCTGTGCAATCTCAGAATTCATTAGACTGTGCAATCTCAGAATTCAATAGGCTGTGCAATCTCAGAATTCCGGCATTAGGCTGTGCAATCTCAGAATTCCGGCATTAGGCTGTGTAATCTCAGAATTCCGGCATTAGGCTGTGCAATCTCAGAATTCATTAGGCTGTGCAATCTCAGAATTCATTAGTGATGTATCATGCTAGCTACTCATGTATTGCGCATGTACTTCAAATTGTTATCACCCGTATAACGCGTATTGTTACGTTATACCAAGAGTAGATAAACAAGAGTGTGCAACTCGCGGATGGGTTGGTCCACGGCGGAATTTTTTGTTGACGTAATCTTTTCGACGACGCACACGCTTCTAGCCTTTTGGAGAGTTTCCCTCGTGCACTGGGCTGGGCTTTACACTACAAGGTCGGTGCCCAGCACGTGCCTTCACACTGCTCTGCGGCAAAATCCGCGTTTCTCTGAAAAAAGGTGACGTAAACAAAAAATTCCGCCGTGGGCGCGGGATATCTTCAGACTGTGCAGGAGAGATCCGGAGTTGCACACTCTTGTTTATCTACTCTTGGTTATACGCCTTGCTTCACGTGATTACGTCATGTCTCCATATTCTGGATTCATGTGTTCTTCTCCTTGCTCTTCTTCCTCACTTGAGAATGTAAATATTTAGTTTCTATTATCTTGTCACCAAACTAGTTCCTGTTGTCTAGTATTATTTATGTGCATGAGAACATAACATGGCGCAGTGAAGTTTCGTATTTGTGTTTATCTTGCCCGTGGTGCATCCCAGTTGTGTTCGCACGAGGCCTGCAGGTCCAATTAAAATTTATTTATTTCTCTAGTCGTGACCGTCTTCCGAAATGTCAGATGCAGCTGCACCAAGTGTGCCGAGCGCAGATATCGCTGCTCTTGCCGATCTCTTCAAAAAGCAGATGGAGGCAGCCAATGAACGAGAGAAGCGTCTCGATGCAATTATCACTGGTCTTACTCAACAGAGTCAGCCTCGCTCGTCGCCATCACCAGCTCCAAAGCCTGTCGTGGCGGAGCGACCCATGCTGCTGTCATCCGCGTCTCTGTCAGAGTTTGCGGCCTGGCAGGAACTGTGGGAAGACTTTTCTCGGTGACAGCACCTGACAGCACAGTCAAAGGAAACCAGGGTATCTGCCATCCGTCAGTGCCTTGACGAAGACCTCAGAGGTTTTATCAGGGAGGGCACCATTGTCATCGCGACCAATCCTGATGCGTGTGACGTCTTGGAGGCGGTCAAGCAGTTTCTTCGCCGACAACGAAACCCTACACTTGACCGTATTGAATTTTATAAGCGCACGCAATCGAAAGGGGAATTGTTTGACGGGTTCCACACTTCCCTGAAGGAGTTGTTTAACATGTATGATTTTGTGGAACACGAGCTCTGTTCTGCCTGTTTGGCACGTGCCTGTTCCACGTGCAAGACTAATCTCGCACGGGTCCACGCGGACATGATGCGAGACCGCATTGTGATCGGTATCCTAGACGACACCACCCGTCACAAACTGTTGTCCACCTCCGACCTGACATTTGAGGCGACAGTCAAGGTGTGTCGTGCAGAAGAGGCAGCCACACAGACCAGCCACCACATCCCTACCGCCCGCCAAGTCGATGCTCCCAGGAAGTCGTCTTATCAGCGCGCGAAGTCAGCTTCACAGCCCCCAGTTGAGGCGAAGCACACTTCTGCTCGTGATAAGTGCCGTAACTGCGGACGCACAGCGCACACGAAATCGTCGTGTCCCGCGATCAACAAAGTGTGCCTCAACTGTAATGGAATGGGTCACTTCCGGGCAATGTGCCGCAGGCCTGCCAAGAAGCCGGACAAGTCGTCCAAGATCTCACACTTGCGACTCAACCGAGCATCTCTGTTGGACGACGCAACAGTTTCCGTTGCTACCCAGCTTGCGACCGAGCCAGAGCCCGTTGCTCTTAGTTGGCTCCCGGATACTGGTAGTGACGTTGATGCCATCGGCACTCAACACCTTGACCAGTTAGGCGGATTTGTCGAGAACCTGCTTGACGACATCGACGATATTCGCAGATGTCTCCAGTCTCACCCCTGTTGGCAAGATTTCGGCGACTAACAGTTGTGGACCAAACCAGCACACGTCCACCATTCATGTCTATGATGGTTTGACTGATGCCCTCCCATCCCGTTCATCCTGTCACGCCCTGGGATACTTGCCGCCCGGCTGGCCGAAGCAAATCGCAGGAGTCCAACAGGTAGTCCCACCGGTCGTTCCCGATGCCCCTGCGGACACGGTTGTGTCCAAAGCCACCAACTCGGAGACGATGAGAGCCGAACTCCTAGCTGAATTCGCTGACGTCTTTGATGACTCTGTGTTTGTAAGCCGATGCTTGGTAGACCTATGGAAATTAAAGTGCGAGCTGGTGCTAAGCCTGTCGCTGCATATCATGCCCGCCAGATCCCGCATGCGTACCGTGACCAAGTGAAGTCCCAGCTGGATGACATGGTCCGGGATGCCATCATCGAGGAGGTCACCGAACCCAGTGCGTGGTGTCACCCAATTGTCATCGTGGACAAGAAGGGGACAAACGAGAAGAGGCTCACCGTTGATTTCAAAAAGCTCAACGACCAAGTCGAACGCCCTGCTCACCCCGCACCAAGCCCTCGTGACGCTGTATCCAGCATTGGCAGTGCAAGGTATTTCACCAAGCTAGACGCCCGCCACGGCTATTGGCAAGTTCCTCTGAGCGAAGCCTCTCGTCCGTTGACCACGTTCATGACACCTTGGGGTCGGTACAGGTACCTACGCAACCCACAAGGATTGGTCTCTGCCGGAGACGAGTTTAATCGCCGCGAAGACGCTGCGTTCGCTCATATCTCTCAGTTCCAGAAGGTCGTTGATGACTGCCTCGTCTACGATAATGACCTGCCCACCCACCGATCTCAGGTCCGGGATGTCCTGCTCTGCGCCCGGGAGAATGGCATTACTCTGAGCGCCAAGAAGTTTGTGTTCGGCATGCCAGCCGTGGAGTTCTGTGGTTACCGCATCAGTGCTGACGGCTGGACCGTCGATGATGCCAAGGTCAAAGCTATCAGCCAGTTTCCAGCTCCCAGCAACCGCACTGATCTCCGATCGTTTATGGGTCTTATCAACCAGTGTGGTGAGTTCCCCCCGCACCTGTCTGAGCACGCCGCCCCGTTGCGCCTATTGCTCAAGACGTCCAACGAGTTTGTATGGGACTCAGTTCACACAGACACAGTCAGCGCTGCCAAGGCTGAGCTGTTGTCACCATCAACCCTGTCATTCCTCCAACGTGACCAGCCACTCCGCCTAGAGACCGATGCATCTGCTTTGCATGGCCTTGGCTACGTTCTGTGGCAGTTGCAAGATGGCAAGTGGCGTATTCTCCAGTGTGGCAGTCGATTTCTGTCGGATCCAGAATCCCGGTATGCTGTCATCGAACTGGAGCTCCTACCTGTCGTCTGGGCGGTGAAGAAATGTTCTCTCCACCTCGCTGGTACATTGTTTGAGCTTGTCACCGACCACCGGCCCCTCACACCAATCATCAACTCGTACTCGCTCGATCAGATTGAGAATCCCCGGCTCCAACGCCTGGTCATGAAGCTTCGTCCATACCAGCTGCATGCTACTTGGCGTAAGGGTACTGACAACGCTTACGCCGACGCGCTGTCCCGCAATCCGGTGGATGATTCCACCCCTGACGATGAGCTCGGTGAACACCCAGCCCTTCGTACTCCTGCCATACGCGCTTGCACTCGGAAAGACACCGAAGGCCAGATTGCCAATCTCCCGTTTGCCCAACTGCAAGAAGCCGCTTGAGCTGACTCGGATTATCCGGCACTCCTCACCACCGTCCGGAGTGGATTTCCCGACGACAAACGTGACTTGTGTTCTGCTGCCCAGCCGTATTGGACAGTCCGTCATCGTCTTACAGTCAACCAGGACCTGGTACTGAAAGGTCCTCGTATTGTGGTCCCGCGTTCCCTCAGGCGTAGTGTGCTTGACGCCTTTCATGCTGCTCATCAAGGTCTCAACCGTACCAAGGCTCGTGCTCGCCAGGTGGTGTATTGGCCCCAGCTGTCCAACGACATGGACAATATCGTTCGCAGCTGCGCTGAATGCCGTCACTACGCACCTTCCCAGGTGAAGGAACCTCTGCTAGCAACAGAGGATCGTTGCCCTGCCCTCCCGTTTGAGAGCACCAGCGTGGATCTGTTGGAATACCAAGGCTACCAGTTCCTGGTATACGTGGACTGCAAGACCGGCTGGCCCTGTGTTGCCAAGATAGGACGCACCGCCACCTCCACTGACGTAGTCCGTGCGTTCCGAGGCTGGTTCGCGGATCTCGGTGTCCCAGCTGTCCTGACGACTGATGGTGGTCCGCAGTTCACAGCGCAGCGTTTCTCCGCCTTCTGTCAGCGTTGGGAAGTCCGCCACGTCAGATCCACCCCGCATTACCCACAATCGAATGGCCATGCGGAGGCGGCTGTCAAAGCCATCAAATCGCTCGTGTACAAGACCACCACCAGCGGAGACATTAATGTCGATGCCTTCCGTCGGGGCTTATTAGAATGGCGTCACACTCCCCGTAGCTCCGGTCAGAGCCCAGCAGCGCAGGCCCTGTTTGGCCGCCCACTGTCGTCATTCGTGCTTGCCCACCGGACCAGTTTTGCCCCAGCGTGGCAAGAAACCGCTGACGAAATCGACAGTCGTGCCTGTGCCCAGTCTGAAGCAGCCAGTCAGCACTACAACCAGTCTGCCCGTTCTCTGCCTGCCCTCCACCTTGGTTGCCCTGTGGATCTACAAGATCCCCGCAGCAAGTTGTGGAACGCCTGTGGTACCATTGTCGCCATTGGGAGAACATGGTCAAGCTTCCCAGTGGCCGAATATACTGGTGAAACCGTCGCTTTCTTCGTCCTGTTGTCTTGCCCGTAGCACCTGCACAGCCGATGCCTGCTACCCCCATCACTCAGCCTGCCCCTCCAGTCCGGCGCTGTCACCGAAGCCGCCAGCCCCCGTCTAGGCTGAATATTTCGAACACTCGTGGCCAAACTTATGATTAGCTGCCTGTGCGTCTTTCTGTCTCTTGTTGAGCTCAGCTATATTCGTATTCAGTTATCTCTATCTTCTTTGCCGTACTTTCTAGTTGGTATTAGATGCCTTGTTGTCATCTCAGAAGGGGCGTGAGATACATGTATGTAAATGTAACTGTTATATTTCTATCGCAGAAGGGACGTGATGTATCATGCTAGCTACTCATGTATTGCGCATGTACTTCAAATTGTTATCACCCGTATAACGCTTATTGTTACGTTATACGCCTTGCTTCACGTGATTACGTCATGTCTCTATTGGACGCATGCACTCATCCATATTCTGGATTCATGTGTTCTTCTTCTTGCTCTTCTTCCTCACTTGAGAATGTAAATAATTAGTTTATATTATCTTGTCACCAAACTAGTTCCTGTTGTCTAGTAGTAGTGGTGTGCATGAGAACATAACAATTTAGGCTGTGCAATCTCAGAATTCCCAGAGGGCGCAGCGCAATCTTCAGATTGCACAGGCAAATCTTGGATCTCTGAGATTGCGCAAATTCTCAGATTGCGCGGAACATACACCCCATTGCAGCAGTATCAGGGCCTTACGTAGAATACTACTTGTAACTACTTGCTGTCATGGAGTGTTGCTGGTGAGACTGTATTCGTGCTGATGTGTGCAAGGGTTGTGTGGGCAAGTCTGGTCGAAAATGTGAATATGCTTCTACCACTAAAAGATATAGTGGCAGCGGCTGATCTTTATAGGGGTAATTTGGCGCAATTGCGCTCATTCTGCATAGAAACGTGGCATACGCTAAGTAACAAAAGTGACCGAAGTGATAACAAGGTCAAGTGATAACGCCACGTGCTCATGGCTGGGACAGAAACATGTAACACGTGTGAAAAGGAAGCGCAAAAAACACAGCAGTCAGTCGATGGTGTTATCCGTTTTTCTCTGCGATGGCTGGAAGTGGGTGAAAACTTGAAGAGGAGGTGCCCAAAATTGTCCCGAAGTACCGAGCGACGTCACGCCGGACTTGACCTCCACGCGTACATTCGTCGTCAAAAACGAAGTCCAGCCCGTGTGCTCGTCGATCGAGCTAGCTGTTCCAATGTACGGTGCACGTTGGCCTTTTGATTTGTAACACAGATATATGGGTACGTCGTACCGAAGGAGAATGCCAAAGAGGCAGACACCCACGTGCAGCTACACAGCCAAATCAAAATAAAAAGCAGCTGAGCTTTCACCTTTTTGACTTCTTCCGCGAGGATCTAAGTTTTATTTTGTGAGAACGGAAGGACGTTGTTTTGAACTTTTCGTGTGCGGAACAACACGATGATGAGAGCGTATGCAGAAAACAGTACTCCTCCGGCCGGCGATAACACCATCAACCCGAGCCCCAAAGGAACGCTATGTAGTTACGTGAAGGCGATTCATCTGGCGATGTTGCTGAAGATGCAGATGACAAACTCCGACGTCTTTCATTTCAGAGCCGGGTGGGCAACACCGCCGGCGCCACCTTCGATACAACGACATAATTATCAAGTACGAGGTATGTGTGTCCTACTAACAGCAAACAAACATCCTTCTACTCCTTCGTAATCACAAAATTAATAAAACAAAGAGCTGGAGCTTCGTGGAGGAAGTACCAGTGCGACAAACTGCTGTCGGCTTTTGTTTATTTTGTCCCTTTTTGGCGTTCTCATTGTGTACAACGTACACATCGAGTGTCCGAGTTCAAAAGGCAAGCCGCCAAGCGTGCACCGGTGCTCACCGTACATCGAACAGTTGGCTCGATCGACCAGCACACGGGCTGGACTTCGTTTTTGACGATGAATGTACGCGTGGAGGTCAAGTCCGGCGTGACGTCACTCGGTACTTCGGGACAATTTTGGGCACCTTATTTTCAAGTTTTCACCCACTTCCAGTCATCGCTGAGAAAAACGAATAACACCATCGTGATCAGGAGCCAAAGAACTACAAGATAAGACAAAGAATATTTTGGTGACAGTCCCCCTTTAAAGAAGAGAAACAGTGACATGCACCCCCCCCCCCCCCACACACACACACGGACAGTATGTAAAGGCATATAACGAACGGTCTTTTCCTGTTAGCTCTGTTTGTCCAATACATGTCCAATACATGAGATAAAACGTCAAACGAGCCTGGGACCGATCAGTGTTGATGAGGAGAATGACACGGAGGACGACACTGAGGACGAGTTGGGAGATGAAACGGAGGACGAGGTTGCGGTTGTTGGAGACGAGGAATCAGATGGTGATTGTGATCGTAAGAAGTCTGCCGTTTTTCTTCACTTGTTGTCTCACCCTAAGTGTCTGCAGGTGTATGATGATTTTAGTTTTTCTGTTCTTTGTCGTGCACGGTATGCTAGTCAGTTGAAAGTACTTGAGGCTGTTTGTATTCGTTTGCATAAGCCTGATCTTTGTAAGCAGAAGAAACATGTAGTTGCGTTAAAATTGTTTTCGTAGGTGCACAGCATGATTGTTTGTCTCACTACACAGTTTTAGCGTTATAATTATTAGTTTTTCACCCACCGTTGCACTTAGCTCTCACTTCACTGCTATTGTCTCACCTTCCCTCTTTCTATTTTGGCACTGTATTTTGTTCTCGTAACACATCATTGAATGTATATTTAATCATTGTTCAGCATGGTTACTCTTCAGTCACGACTTTCCACTGATGAATGTGACAAGAAAATTAATTCTGGTAAACTTTCATGACTTCGTTGTAGTGTGGCGATGACTGCAGAATTTGTTCTTTTTATTGCTATTATAAAACGTTTTCTTGTTGTTTTTCCTTCTACATGTAGCTGCTTCCAGCATGGTAAACGACAGTACCGTGGCCTTTTCAGATTTTCATTGTACCTATTTGTAGTACCTCCCGGGATCAGTATTTCCGCTTGAAATAATATCCACCCCAATGCCTCATTCTTAGCATTCTTTTATTCGATTACATGTAATTGGGCTTATTGCCCGTTTGGTATTGCGAATTCTAGTAAAAAACAAGAACAACAACAACAACAACAACAACAACAACAACAACAACAACAAGCTGAGATTCCTGCTTCAGCAACAACAAGCGCTGCCGAGTCTGAGGCCATTGCTGGTAAGAATGCCTTGCGTGCACCACGCATGCACATCAGCGCTGAACGGACCAGTGCAAAGCCAATCTGGCAGCGGATGGAAGCTAGGGTGATGCTGTATGGCTCCCCAGTCTTGGCAGCGAGGAGAGAGGCGATGCGTTGGTAGAGCGAAGCACCATCCAGCAGATGTTACAGACTGATCTGTCCAACTGCCAGACCTGGGCCAAGTCCGTGGGTGGCACATTCTCGGCGGAGAAGATAACACTACTAGTTCTATCTCATCACACTAAAGCAACTTGTATCCCATCATTGCAGATTGATGGCATCGACCTTTGTCGCGCAGACACTTGTAAGCATCTCGGTGTGCAGCTGACGTCGTTGCTGCAGTTTGATGCCCACTACGACACCATCCACACCTCTTTCTCTAGGAGAGTGCATCTGCTATGCTTCATGGCACGGTCTCGACCACCATCTGTAACAATATTGCTATACAAACAGTATGTTCGGCCTGCGTTAGAATATGCAATTCCGGTCTGGCATTGCCGTATGACTGCAAAGCAACTTTCAGCATTGGACGTTCTGCAGGCTAAGGTATGCCGCGCCTTTATGGGGAAGAAAGCAGTTCAGTTTGACACACATGAAACGAAGGAAAATCTTACTAAGCTATGTTTTCTAGAGTCTTTGCATTATAGAAGGCAACACATCTCTCTTGTCCTTCTCTTCACGTACGTTAATGTCTATCCCCACTACTTATCTATTTGGTATACTTATCACAACCAGTGCACGACGTCCCAATAAGCTGATATTGACAAACCATGGACAACGCTGTTCAAATCTCGTTTTCCATAAATACAGCACCCTCTGGAATTGTCTGCCCCCTAAGATCACCTCCTTAACCAGTTTAAGCGAATTTAAGCAAGAGCTGCACAAACAGTTTTACGAGCATTGGTTTCACTAAAGTGGAATTCCGTTGAATATGTAGCGTCACATCATATTCTTTAGAAGCTTATCTCTGGCACATTTTTCATCATTTACATGTATTATCCCAGTTCTGCAAGCTTACAATCATATGCTCAAGCGCAGAGCTCTGCCCTAGACTATGTCTTTTTCTATTTCTTTGCTCACCTATAGCTCATCACCTCTTTCACAGATTTGGTATTATGGAAAGTTTGGAAACCCCCTCGATAGGCGAAAGCCTTTGGGGAATCCTTTTAAAAACAATAAAAAATACAAAAATTACCATGCTTTCCCATGCCTCCGGTGGTAGAGAAGATGGCGGGGACAAAGCTGGAATGCTCAACTTCCCTCAGGCGCGGCTCATACGCACGACGCTTAGCCTTTTCATGACGGATTTAGGTAGCCGCAAGTGAGTTAGAACGGTTCGAAGACGCATGGGGTTGAATACCCGTACATCAATGTAGGCGCACTCAAACCGTCCTCCCCAAATGCCACTAGCCACGACGTCTAGGCGTGCCTGGTCATCAGCAATAGCAGTGCGATAACGGACTTGCTCTCCGGAGAGTGGCTGGAGGTGTGGCTCAACTGCCACCTGGTGGGCCACCCGCATTAGCAGACGAGCAGTGATGTCCCTCACCTCGTTGTGACGAATGGACGGAAATCCACCCGTCGGACACGAGAGGGAGTGAGACACAGTGAACTGCTGCCTACACGCACACAGTGATGGTAGACGGACCGGCAGCCAGTTGAAGCGAAGGCAAACAGCATTCCGAAACTCCGACTTCGTCAGGGTGAAGCCATGGCGTTGAAGGGGTCGGCACGTGACCCAGCTTGAGGC